AGAGGTATTCATGTGGGACTATTTCATAATAATACTGTCAAGAGTGGCTCCTTACTTCAACTTGAGTCAAAAGTGTCAGGAGGGTTGTGCTTCTGGGTTCCATAACTTGGAGGTCCAAGTGGGAAGTCAGATCTTGGTCCCCAGCACATCAGCACAGAGAGGAGGTGAACGTTCAGAATGGGGCCTGGTGGGAGGGGTGCAGGCCCTGGGCCTGGGGTTGAACAGGACAGAGCCTCCCTCAGGACCAGAGGCCCTGATGTCCCACAGTCATTTCAGTCCCTGAAGGTGATGTTTAAAATGTGTGTGTGTGTTATGTTAAAATCTCAGCAGAACACAGAAGGTGCTGCAGTGTGGGTCTGGGATGGGCGTGGCTGCCTGTGAAATGTCCCTGGTTCTCCTTTCTGTTTTCCTGGTCAGAAACTCCAGCCTCTCTCTGTCCACAGCAAATCTTAGGATTTGTTCATCTGGCCGCTGCAGTACTGCAGCACCTCCTAATAGAATACTCTGTTCATTACCGGTTGATTCTTTCTGAGTACATTATTCTTTGTCCTCTTCTCACATTTTATTGCAAGTAATGAAAGAAAGCCATGCTGAATGCTTGACGCTACTGAGAGATTCACACTCCCATAAGCTTGCTGGCCTGCCCGAGGTGGACTTCTACAGCCATCCAAGATGTGAACGTACTTCAGCCACTTCTGCCACATTCTCCCTAGGATGTCCTGTGCTCCATGCTCCCTGCCTTGTCCCTAATTTCTACTTGGTGTGTGTCATTCTGTCTGCCCACTCCATCCTGTGCACCGCCACTTCCTGTCCACCCTTGCATTGTCTTCCTGCACGATATGGTTGTGCACGCCGGCACCGCAGTCCACCCACCTTCTTCCGACAGACAAGCCACACGTGATCCTCAGGAAGACGTGCCCGACAGTGGGGTGAGCCCACAACGCACATGCAGCGGTTTAGAGTTGCACACTCATAAAAGCGAAGGTGAACATGGGTGGGTCATGTCAGACAAGGATCTGCACACACACATGATTGGACCTGAATTTGATGAGCTTGGCCTGGTGGGAGGATGGAGGCCTGGTCCTGTCAGCGTGGGCTCCGGAGTCTGCGGTCACCGCTCCCACAGCCGGGCCCAGTCTGTGCTCAGCAGGAAGCCCGGAGTCTCTGTGCTGAGCCTGCGGGAGAGCACGCACCCGGAGCCCTGAGCGCTCCAGACCCGCCCTGGCCTGTGCGGAGCCAGCTCTGCCTGAGCCGGAGCCTGGGCCTCGCTGCTCTGTCAGGCCCTGCCTGGCGTTCAGATGGAAGGAGCCCAGCCTCTGTGTCCGTGCAGCAGCGCAGGGCAGACACCAGCTGGGGTCCTGGAGCCCTGGGAGGGTGGAGGCCAGGCACCAGGGCCACCTCCTCACCACACCTGCAGCTGATGCGGGCTCAGCGCCCCCTGCTGGCCTAGGTTGCATGCATGTTTGTGTCTGGGCTCCCACTGGGCTTCTCTCACTGTGTCTCTTGCACAGTAATACAGGGCCATGTCCTCAGTTCTCAGGCTGCTCATTTGCAGGTACAGCGTGCTTTTACTGTTGTCTCTGGAGATGGTGAACCGGCCCTTCACAGACTCTGGATACCGTGTGCTACCACCCCCTGGATCAATTCGTGCAACCCACTCCAGCCCCTTCCCTGGAGCCTGGCGGACCCAGTGCATGTAGTAATTACTGAAGGTGAATCCGGAGGCTGCACAGGTGAGTCTCAGGGACCCCCCAGGCTGCACCAAGCCTCCCCCAGACTCCACCAGCTGCACCTCACACTGTACACCTGCAAACACAGAGAATCCTGGTCAGCAATGGTCACACACATCCACTGTTCTTCCCACTCATGTCCATTTGCACACTCAGTATCCCTTGCTCCCCATGAATCACCTTTCAACAGAGCAACAAGGAGAACCCAGCGCAGCCCCAGCTCCATGGTGGTGGTCTGTGCTCAGTCACTGGTGGAATCAGCTCACAGAGCTCAGGTCAGGGATGGGCTGGTTTTCATGGGCAGAGGGACGTCCTATTTGCATGTCCTCTGCTATAAAGCAGCTCTGGGGGGAAGTCTAGAGATTGGGCTCCCAGAGCAGAGGTGACTGTGCTGGAGGAGTTTGGTGACAATGGTCACCTTGGAGACATCATGACACACTGACCACGTGCTGTGGTTCACACTGTACCTGCAGCTCCTTGGGAGCTTGAGGCAGAGTGTGAGGACATTGAGAGCTGTCCGCGGTGCAGAGGGACACACATGTCCTCTCACTCTGCCATTGTGCCTGGTGATCGTTCTGTCAGCATTTCTGATCACACACAAAACACAAAGTGCAACACACGTGTGACCTCCTTGTGCACACGCACGAGTTTAAAACTATGGTGAATTTTTTCCACACTGGCAGTATCTCCTGGGGTATGAGCTCCATGCCTGGTCTGGGCCTGCACAGCCAAGGAGGGCCCACAGTTCCTGGGGTGTTCCAGGAGAATGGTGCTCATCTGTGAGCTCTGCTGAGCCTCCTTCCTGAGCCGAGATCAGGTATCATTTTGCTGCACTTTACTTTAATCTGACCACCAACCAAGATGGCCAGGATTCAGGCAGAGGCTTGACATTGGGCTCTGGTGTATCACTTGTCACAGTCTAGCTTTCTTGTTTATCCTGTTTATATGCATTTATTTGTAACAATATCATGAAAGTTGTTAATCTCAATAATAATAATCTCAATAAGTCACAATGCATAACAATGTGCTCATAGGTATATCGGTATTTGGTAATTATGGAAAATGCCTTGTGTCTTCTTCAAATTGATTTATCAACCATTTGGCAGTTTCCTTGCATCTGTCTTTCAAGTCATTGGTTACAGTGATTCCTAGTGCTGGACAAGATGGTGAGTTGAAGGTGAACAACACTTTTGTCCATGAACAAGAATCCACTGACACAAAGCTGAGCAGATGCTGAGGAAGAGAGGAAAGGAGCAGCGACAGGGAGTTCCTGGGACCCAGGACATGGCAGAGAAGCAGTCAGGGTGGAGACTGTGGCACTGAGCTCTGACCTGTGTGCAGCTCTCCTGCTGGGGAAGAGAGCTGAGCTGTCAGCAGGTAACATCAGGTGTGCTCACAGAGGGACTGCCAGCTCTGCCGTGGGACACATGGCTGAGAACCCCTTAATTAGCAAAATCCCTGAAATGAAAGAAACAGAAAGAAATCACCAACCCTTGTGTTGGGGGTGTGGACGAGTTATTAGGCAGTTAGTCAATGAGAAAATTCATCAGGTTCTGACACTGAGTACCAGTCATGGATCCAATGGGAAAAGAAAATTGAGGCCTGACTCAAATGGTAGAGAACCGGTCTTGAGTGAGAAAGCAGAGGGAGAGTGCAAGGTCCCTGTTTGTGCAAAAGTGCACAATAAAAACGCTTATAAACACATGAGAGATACCCAGTGTTGGGGGCCAAGCTGGGTCATGTAAAGCCGGCAGGCTGACAGTTAGAATGTAAATAAGAACATGACTGGAAGCTATACCACGGTCCATGAGCACACAAACACAGAAATGCCATCGATTCCAAACTCCAGTAATGTCCAGTGGCACATTTGTTTCTTATCTTCATTTGCTGTGGCATTGTTTACATCAGCAAGCCAGGAGATTAACTCAGGTGTCCATGAGAGAAGGAATGGAGAAAGGAAATGTGGTATCTTTGCAAAACAGGAGATTGTTCATCCATGGAAGGAGGAAGTCCTGGCATTTGTGACAACATAGATGACTCTGGGGAGTTCACGTGAAGTGTGGTAATGCAGCACAGAAAGACAAAGGAGGGCTTTTGACACCTGTGTGGTCTGTATTTGGGAAAACATGTAAGTCAGCAGACCACAAGCTTCCTCACTGTCAAAGAATGGAACCTGTGGGTGGTGTACGATCCTTAGCTCTGCGTTGACAATGGTTCCACAGCATTTGTGTGCATTGTCACGTTGCACTCTAAGTGTGAATGTGCATCGTTTGAATTGTCAATGTTATGTCACGGAAGTAGAAATAATTACAAAACTTTCCGACCTTGAGAACTTTTAGCAAAGTGGTGAGAAGGACACCAAACGTCACCATCTCAGCAGGAGCAGGGCACCATCGCCCTCCCTCCCTCCTTCCCAGAACCCGACTCTCACAGAGGCTCGGTCATCTGGAGCATGTGGGCTGAGCCCTCTCCTGAGCAGGGCCTAGACACCAGCAGCCCCTCCACAAGGTGAGCCTTAACTTTCCCAATGCTCTTCCTGATCTGTTATTTGAACTGACACTAAACAGTGTGGGCAGCCTGTCAGGTTTACTGCATGTATCGTTGTATACTGTTTAGGTCCTGCTAAACACAGTTATATCCTCAAGCATTTATAAATTCTTAATGGTGTTTTGTCTGGGTTCTGGAATGTTCAATCCAGAGTGGTCATTTATGCTCACACATGTTGCAATATGCAGTGACTAGGGACAGGACAGTAATGGACACAGGTCTGGAATCAGATTTAGGATGCCTGAGGCCTGAAGCCTTCCACCAGCTTCAGGTGCCCTGGGCCTATTTTACATGGTATTTATTGAGTCGGGTGCAGGGCTACCTCAGAGAGTGAGGTCACAATGTCCTTAAAGTCACAACCACCAACTAAATGGTCTAATCACACTGCAGTGATAATGACCTCTTTATCTTAAGAAGCCAAAGTAAGCAGTAATTGGCTCTTCTTTAGCCTAAGCTTCCAGAAAGCCCAGTGTGAAATTAGCTTACACCAGCATAGAAATCTGCATTCCCATCAAGTCAGGACTGAGTGACCTTTTCAGGAAAGTCTCAGTGCTCTGAGGGTTCATGTGGGAGGTGGCAATGCATCCTCCCTATCCTTTTGGGTCTCAGAGCTTGAGTTTCGGGGGCTCTCACGAGATAGCAATGACATTATATGCCCTTAATATTGAAATTCCACTTCTGTGTGCAATCCTTCAGTAGCAGATACACATTGGAAAGACCCACACAATGCAATCTTCATGTCAGCCAATATGGCGGTAGGATGACACTGATAATGCCTGGAAGCCTGGAACTGTCAAAGTACGGGGCGGTGGGTTTGCTAGTGCAGCCAAAAACTCAGTGGACGTCTGCCTACCAGCCCGGAAATTAAAACCCAGAAATGAACAGACAATCACCCAACATCCAGGAGGCTGTGCAGGGATCTTCAGGAGGATGAGGAAGTCTATATGCTCAGGGAGAACAGGGAGAACCAGATTGACACCATTAACCCTGGGGCAAATAAGGAAGTTTTCTCAAGAAGCTGGAGATGCTTATAGGAGAATGGAGAGGAAATGAACAGGAAGAATGTGTACCAATGGTGGAGGTATTCACACTGCTGGTGTCTGTTTGGGGACTCCTATGCTGGGTAAACTGTTGTACGGAAATGTGGTTTGATGTGTAGCAACTCATCATTGAGCTGGAGGAAGGCTTTGCCATCCTGGAGGCCAAAATCTGAATTCCACAGCTTGGTGTCTTTACTGCAGTGTCCACAGTCACCATGGCTGCGGAACACACGGGCACCAAGATCCCAGGCCAGCAGAGCACTGCACCCCTCCTGCTCCACACACGCACAGCAGGTACCTGGAGGGTGCTGTCTCCTGGTGAGGAGAAGGGTTTGTGTATTGTCCAAATGATTCCACAGGATGAAACCTTCACAGGTGGGAGATGCCTTTCCTAAGCCTTGGAGTTCAGACAAAATCCCTTCTCAAGAAATGACCCTTGTTCCTTCAGGTAGTGGTGTGGTGAGGGAACAGGGTGAGATTTGTCTTTGTCTCAGGGAGGGGAGTGTGAGAGGAGGGTGAGGAGCAGGACAGGGGCCAGGACGCGGGGCAGAGGCCTTGGAGGCAGCTCTGCTCAGCACAAGGTTCAGGGTGAGCAGCAGTGTCCGGACATGCACAACGCCAGGACTCACAGACAAATGCCCTCTGTCCTGGACATGCACTACGCCAGGACTCACGAACACCTGCCCTCGGTCCTTGACAGTGCACTATGCCAGGACTCACGGACACCTGCCCTTGGTCCTGGACATGCACAACGCCAGGACTCACGGACACCTATTCTAAGTCCCTGGCCTCACAGCACAACCAGGCTGCCCATGTTTACGTTTCCCCAGAGCCGCGAACTGTGGAGGTGAAACCATGTGAACAGAGTGGACGAGGCTGAGCTCTGCATCCCCGTCCCACGACTCCTGGTCAGCCTCCCTCCAGACCCGACGTCCACCTCCTTTCCCACAGGAGGCCTGCTGAGAGCCAGCACGTTGGGAAGTGTATGGAAAGATAAGATTCCTCCATCCCTAAACAAACTACATTTGGCTAGCCATAAATATTCCCCCAGCCCTAAGCAGACAACATTTGACTAACCATAAACATTTCTCTTAGCTCCAGCCCTAAGCAAGAGGCACCTGGCTAACCATAAATGTCTCTTAGAGAAACTACAGGAGGTACCTTTAAGATTAGCACAACAATCAAAGGAAAAGCGACCCATCCCTGACCCCGGGACTTCTCACCCTTGCTTCTGCAAAGTTTTTTCATTCTTCCCCTTCCCACCGCCCCTGTGGGTATAAAAACCCTACCCCGAGCTCAATAAAGCAGACCTTGACATGACTCAGACTGACTTTGTCTTCCTTTATGCGCTTGGTCTCTTTTCTCTCTTGCCCCCATTGGTTTTTAGGAGGTGCCTCCTCGAGCCTAACTGAACCTGCTGGACGGGTCAGCAGCAGGAGAGGGCTGATGCATGCAGGCTGAGACGTGGCACCAGCACGTTCCCCAGGTCTGCAGAAGCCCCTGCCTGAGCAACACCTGACCCCAGCTCCCCACCTGACCTGAGGTTCAGTCCACACACTTACAACCTCCATTTCTGCTGACCAGGGAAAAGAGCACACACGGAGGAGAGTCTCTGGGCAGGAAAATGAGTCCACTGACACTACCCCATTGTCCAGTCGTGAGCTGGATGTGCACAGGCGGGAATGGGAGAAAGGGAAGGTTTGCTAGCTCCAGGGGTGGCGGTCTGGCTTCTCCTCACAGGATTTGGAAGTACTGGGTTAGAACTCAGGCCTGTGCTCGTTGGGCCGTCATGCTGTGACTGGGCCATGCCTCTCATTTTGCTGTCAGCTGTTATTTGGGCAGAGCCTTGGTGTTGACTGAGGCTGGGCTCGGAGCTCAAACACTGTGTCCATAGCTCTGGTGTAGCTGGGGGCCCTGTGGGCCTGGGCTGTCACCCCCAGCTCCTTGACTGAGATACAGCCTGGCTAGTGTTTTCCCTGGCTTGATTTGAACCATGATCCTCCAGTCCCCACTTCCCACACAGCCTGGATTGCAGGGAGTACCCTGTGCGTAGTCATGTCCATCACGTTTTCAACTGGAATTTCAGGGCCTCCTCAGCAGGGAATCCCAGAGTGTCTCCCCAGGTCTCATGGGAAAGTGATCGTCAGGTCCCCTGGCCTTCCTCAGTCCTGGGGACCACGGCTGGGTCATTGCCATTTCCAGGGCGATGCACTGGTCTCATTGATGTTGGAGCATGCTTTATCATTTGAAGATCATAGCAACACGATCACATTGTGAACTCAGAGGCACCACGGAGTGGCAGCCTCCAGATCCAGAGGGGATCCCTGGCAGTCGGCTGGACAGAGGGCAGCCAGATGGTGACAACAGCCCTGGGCTGCAGGCTGTGTTCTGGATGGACTTTGGGCTAGGGTGTGCTGGGCATCCCTGAGGGTCCTGTGCGTCTCTGCGGCAGGCTTGTGTCAGGGCTCACACCGGTCTCCTCAGTGTGTCCTACACAGTAGTGCAAGGCTGTGTCCTCCGTGGTCACAGAGCTCAGCTGCAGGGAACACTGGTCCTTGGAGGTGTGCACTGGCATGGTGACTCTGCTCTGGAGGCATGGGCTGTACGTGGTGCTCCCACATTTATAGATGTGTCCAGTCCACTCCAGCATTTCCCTGAGGCCTGTCGGGTCCAGCTTCACAGTCACCATGCTGACGGAGTCACCAGAGACTGCACAGGAGAGGGACGGCGTCTGTACGGGCCTCAGCAGGCCAGGGCCTGACTCCTGCAGCTGCACCTGGGACAGCACAGCTGTGGACAGAGGAGCAGCTGCGTCTCGGCCCAGATGCCGCATCCCACGCTCCTGCCCAGTCCCAAGTCACCACCGCTGTGAGCTGCCAGCAGGAGCCCAAAGACCACACCTGCTCCACTTCAGGAGGTCACGTCTGTCACGCGCAGACACATTTCCAGAGTGCGGAAGAGGCTGAATTTAAGCGAGGGTGCGACTTCTCCTGGTGTGTATGCGGGAATTTGCATGTGGGGGGCATCCTGCTTGTGGCTGCATATGAGGGTCAGCGTCCCTGTCCCCTGTCCCCCAGGGGAAGTGACCACGGGTCTCTAGAGACCTCAGCCCTCATTCCCCTGTCACCTGTCTCCCGGGGGAGGTGACCGCGGGTCTCTCACAGATTGGGACCCTGTCTTGACAAGCTCTCCACTGGGGGCCCTGATCTGCCAAGAAGGAAGTG